GACCTGAAAAAAATTCAGGCCTGTACGGAATTCGAACCACTGACCTCTGCGATACTAGTGCAGCGCTCTACCAATTGAGCTAACAAGCCAACTGGGAGCAGGCCATCAAATTAATTCGACATAAACCCGTAGATGATAAATCAAACAACAAACATATGAGTCACGAGTCCAGTTCTTGATTCTTTGACGCTCTCTATGGAATTTCTCGCGAAGCAAAGCATCAGTGGTCTTTCTGACTTTTTTCCATAGAGTTTTCTTTTTCTTAATTGCTTTGGCTAGATCTTTGGAAATCCAAGGTGGAAAATTAGGATTACGACATATCACTTTAGGAATAGAATCATTGATGGTTGAAATAACAAGATCGCACCAAAAAGTCCCAGTGCGTGTCCAGTTCCTCCTGGGACTTGATATTGTTTACGCCGCAGCCAAGAGGCAACAATGCGAGATAATTCAAAAATTCAAAGTTTGCTTTCGAAAAATCGAAGCGTAATCTTTGATCAAAATTCCTGAGTCTAACAGGAGCGGCGATGTCAAATATAACCGGGTAGTGGTCGGAAGGCAGGCCAACATCTTGAAGGTGAAAGCCAGAGTCGATGCTTGACAGAAGCTCTGGAGAATTGGTAAACACTAAATCCAATAAGTTGGCTTTACGAGTGGGCTGATCGACGAATTGAAAAAAGTTATAGTCCAGGAGGAGGTTAGCGAGAGCTTGTTCATATCCACTAAATGAAGTAGTGAATGAAACCAGAGCCTTCAATCCAATGTATATCAGGGTAATTGAAATCACCAACAATAAATGCTCCAGCATACAGTGGGAGGTCTACGCTTGACAATAATGAGTAAAACTTGGGAATAAATTCGGTGGAGTTTGGGGGTCGGTAACAGTTTATGAATAAAAGATTTTTGTTGCGATTTATTTGCACAGAAACCAAAATAACTTCTAATTCAGAAGGGAGGTAAACTTCGTTTGAGGGCAAGTAATTAATGGCAGTCTCCTTATAGACTCCCTGTTACCCATTCTCCCCGTGTACCCTGTGTACCCTGAGTACCCTGTGTTCCCTGTGTACCCTGTGTACCCTGTGTATCCTGTGTATCCTGTGTACCCTCTGTATCCCTTGTACCCATGTATACCCTGTGTACCCTGTTTACCCATTATACACTTTGTACCCATGTATATCATGTATATCCTTGTTTACTTCGTATATCCTGTCTACCTTGTGTACCCTGTACACCCTGTATTTAACAATTATTCCACGAGCG